AAAAGAAATAATTGTTTATTATTTTCCAATGCGTCCGCAAATGTATATTTTGTTAAATGACTCGACGTATTTTATAATTTAATTATTTTCAATTCCTAGATAAGCAAGAACTTGCTTTTATACAAATTCTGATCAACTTGAGTGAATTATATGTTAAATTTAGAATTATTTAAAATTAGAAATATAGTCAATGTCACATACGAATAAAAAATTTATAACCCATTATATCAGCTTGAGATTATCAAAAATCTTTAATAATTATTGTATTACCCAATTATCGAATAAATATTATAATATATATATATATATATATATATATATATATATATATATATATATTTAACGATCCCATTAGCATTTTTACAATATCTGTATATACGCCGTAGAGTCTTTGAATCTTCCAATAGAAATATACTTTAAAAAGTTGATAGATTTAAGAATTTAATAAAAATATCCATCCAGTGTACAATGTTTTCCTATAAAGCATATAGTCTTTTATTGTAATCTAGTGTAAAATAATATAATTACAAATATATTATATATATATATCATTTAAGGGGTAAAATCTGACTTATTAGTGAAACAGCTCAATATTTATAATTCAATATAGTTTTTATTCCATTTACATAATGTGCAATCATTATACTGTCTGGAATATATACTATCTCGTTAATTCTTTCTTATCGAGGCTAGATTATTATATTTAGAAATGAAAAAGCGATGAAATCAAATGTATTATAACGCGTTACTTTATGTGTTAATTATTGTTATTTCTGCTGGCTGGTGTACTATTTTTAATTACAAAGTCATCATACTTTCAACATACGGAATTGTACAATAATTAATTGTATTATAGTCTCTTTGAAGATTAAATACTTTTATAACAAATTCAACTATAATCATTTGTTTAATCTACGTACATTCATAATTTAATATCAATACTATTTAATAATAATTATTATATAATTAATTAATATTATTATTAATGTTAAATATTTTATATTTATATATTTAATATTTCACATTCAACATTTTAATATACATTGCTTTTACACATTGTTTTCATGAAAGCCGTTCATTACTCCGGAACTTTAAATTAATTACTAAAAGGATTTTAATGCACGACGAACAATTGACAATGCAGCTCACAATTTTAAACAATATTCATTCTCTTCATTCTTGATGCAAACTGAGAACCTACATTAGACCAGATAATTAATAAAAGAGACTTAAAACACTTTTTACAATATGCGTAGAAAGATTGATATGTTTAACACTGATATTTGACTTTTATATAAACTGCAGTTTCGTGATTACAGTTGTTGCAAGGGCTTATGAAATTTTTCCTTTTTTATTGCACACTTTAAAATACTTGAACAAGCGGGATGATGATACTTTTTCTGAATAGGAAACTTAATTACTCCGTGTGTAAATAAAACAAAAGTCATACGGAGTATTCGCATATTTATGATTTTTTAGTAATCGTTATAAAGCAATAATCGGTCTTGTAAATATGTTTTTCTTTATTTAAAATATTATACAAATTTTATGGTAACAAATTTCTACACATTAACTACGTGTTATGTATATACATATGTAAATAGAGTTCTATATATTGATTTAATTTACTTTCTTTTAATATTCCATTTTAATACAAGAGAAATAAAAATATTAATCATTACTAGTATTAATACAAATATGAGGTACTTAATACAAATATGAGCTACTTTTTAATTTTTACATAAAAAATGCTTCGTTATTATTAATAATATATATATATATATATTATTTGAAAATACTTAGAAGGAGTTTATTTACAGTTTAAAAATACTCTATTATTTATCACACGGAACATTGCAAATATCATAATTTTAATTTGTAATAAAATTTTAAGTTTTACGATGAGATTACAAACAGTAGAAATCAATTAATAATTATATTATTTTTTATAAACAAAAAAAAATTATTCATTTATTTTTTCTAATCAATAAAAATTATACTTTATTAATATGTATAAGTACGAAATTACATTTAATTTATGAATTACTTTTCAAATTTATTTTCTGGACTATATATAACATTTGTGTAGTAATTGAAACATTGTTATTAGCTGGTGTATATATATATATATATATATATATATAGAGAGAGAGAGAGAGAGAGAGAGAAATCTCAATGAGAATTCAATCACTTTATTTACGTAATTCAAATATAAACTGGTGAATGGATTACTTATTATTCGATTCAATATTATATGGAACATTTGATACAGCCGACATTCAATTTCAAATAACTTAGATAATTAACAAATAGATATAGTTTAAGTTAAAGGGCATTCTAATTTATAAATATTATACGAACGTATTTTTCAGTGATATGTAGTTATAATTTTCAGTCTCTGTACTAGAATTATCTAAACAACGGACCCAACTCATCCTTTCCAAGTTTACCAAATTTATAATTATAGTACATTACCAAAATCATATTTTAGACCTATTAAGCCTCGATTCATCAAAGAGCAAACGTATTCATAAAGTACACTGGTAATTGTCAATTCGTTTTCGTCAATTATACGCTTATTTCGCATTTGAATCCTTAGTGAATCATCATATGCATAACTTTCCTAATCACCAAACTTCTCTACTTTATATGTGTCAGAAAAGTATCTAATTTATTAACTTGATATATACAAAGAATGAGTCGATAGTTATGAATATATATAATCTGAGAAATGCATTTAAAAGTTTACAATTAAGTCCTTTTTTTGTAATATTTTTTTTTTGTATTATTTTTAATTATATATAAACAATAATATATATAATAATAATAAACCTACTTAATCTACATATAGAATTATAATTATACATTATAATTTTATGTATATAGAAGATTGGATGGCCAAGCTAATAATATTTAATATCATATAATAGTATAATATAAAATTATGATTTCTATATTGAAATCATACTTTTATTCATTTTTCTAGCTAGAAAACATTTAATTATATAATGATAATCAACTATTTTTATCATAATTATACATTGACCAATGCTATTATTTTTAGTTAAAATTTTATTTACATGATAATTTTATATCATCTTTTCTTCTTTGAACGGTCTGGATTTTGTCTAAGGTAGCTAGCTATTCATTTATAATAAATTAATAGAACACAAAAATTTTAAGAACTTAATTTTTTTTTTTAATTAAATTCTAAACTAAAATGGCCTTTAACACTTAATTTGTTTCAAAAAGCAGGAATAAGATATTTGATAAGTGATTATTATACAAATGAAATATAATGAAAAAATGAAATCGTAGCGAATGATAAATTAGCTTAATATATATTCGCAATATAAAGGAGATATCATTAAGTACAATTTCTTTTTTCTACGTTATGACTTGATTTTGAACATTTAATATTCACAAAGTATAAGTTTCAAAAAGAATTTTTAAACAGCAGAGTATAAAATTCTTTTCTAATAGGTAATCATAAATTAGTCTTTATTCTATGTAAGTGCATATACTATAGTTCCATTCTTATAATTTTTTATTGTTGTGTTATATTTTATATAATATAATTTTTTTATTTTAAAATTATAAAGGTATTTATTTTTCAAGTGTAATTAAATCAAAAGAAAAGTAATTCTAAATGTGTAGTGTAAAATGTGGCCTAGAAAAAGTAATAGGTCTGCCGTTAGTTTGTGACTAAACCTTATAGTTTCTATTTTATAGCATAATAATAATAATAAAAAAAAAAAAAATTAATAATAATAATAATAATAATAATAATAATGATGATGAT